GCTCAACCGATTGGTATTACGTTTACAAAGTACAAGAGTGTGGATGACGAATCTGAAGAATCCGAAGAAAGTGATGAAGAAGACGAATTAAGGCTAAACGTGGAAAAAATTGAGTTCGAAGAATACATCAGTCAAGGTGATAAGCCTGTAAGTATTTTTTTAAATCAAAATAAACTGCAAGTATGATTTCGCTAAATCAATAACCGTTTTATAGTTCGTTTTTAAAACAATGAACATTTCTTCGTTATTTGAGTCGTATCGGTCAAAAGCGTTAGCTCGTGCGCAAAATTCGGGCTTGCTAATAACGAAAAATTACCACGAAATATTGTAAGTAGGACTTCTAAGTGGATACCTTTTTAGTCCTTTTATTGATAAAGGGCGTTTACTTTTTTAAAAAATTAGGAGTCTATCGCATATTCTGTTATTGCAGATGGAATAACTATTCAGAAACACAAGTGAAAACGTTCTCTAGGGAAACGCTCAAAGATCTTAGAAAGGATATTAAATCAAAGTTAATCGGAAAAGAAAAAGTAACAAGGGACGTAAAATCAATCCTACAAGAGTATGTCGAGGTTCGTATTTTTCTATTATTATCATTCTTTTGCAATTTTCCCTTTGCTGACTATCTTGCTTAGGTTGCTCTTGACGATAATGATGGTGGATTACACGAACTTCGCGAAATCATCACTGAGTCTTTTTCGAAAACATTTAATTCAACAACAGAGAAAGAATTTTTTCGACGAATGAGGTTTCTCTTTGAACATCTGTAAGTTTTGATATCTCTTGGTCAAACAACTTTTTGAAATGGCTGTTAATAAGATTTTTTTTTTTTACTACTTCGCAGGTCTTATACTATTCCATTACATTCATTGAAAGAAATTATAAGCGAAGGGACACTTGTGGCAAATATAATAAGTCCAGTGTTACGAATTTTTTTTCATGACTCATACATATATCCTACGATTTGGCCGAACACATCCAGCACCAGCGCAAAGATCCGAAAACTTGCCATCGGTGATCCTTCCCGGGCTAAACAACCCGATATGATCGGGAAAATTGTCAATAATGGTACTTATAGAAAATACAGCATAAAAAATACAAATAAATCTGTTCTAATTACTTCTTTAACATAAACAGGAAGATTTGTTTATGAAACGATGTTTGGAGAGGTGATGGGTGAGGGTAAGAATAATACGGAAAAAAAGAATCTAATCGATCTAATTAGGTTGGGAATATTCATGAAAGATGCATTGGATAATATTTTGCCTAAGACTGGTGTTAATCGGATCTTCGCTTGGCAAGTTATTGGTAAGCTGGTCTTACGGGAACACTTGTTTAACTAACCTTATCCTACCTAATTAATGATTATTCATGTAATAAATAGTGACAAAATGGACCGGTTATATTATGACTTTAATTAGTCCTGGAATTTATGTCATGATAGATACTGTGGTAATGTGGATCTTCCAAGATCTTTCGAAACATGCGATTTGTTTTTAAGTGGGCTGAACACGCTGTTTGCATTTCAGGTATAACTTCAAATTACTAAAGAATATCAATATTACTTGTTAATTCTGTATAAATGACTAATTCAAAACTGTTCCTCTAGCTAGCATATGAAAGAACAATAAAGGATATCCTTTCAATTATCGATAAGAATGAAAAATTCGAAAATGATGATAAATTTAAAGGATGGCGTCGATCAACACTTGGAACACCAGCGTTCAAAAGAATTGTCAATTTCAAATAACTATTATCCAATTTAATGCTATGTTTAACGTTCACCTCCCTCCCTGTCATTACCAAATTTGTATTGTTCAACAACAGTCACACATATATATATATGTCAAGTGATGATTGTACTCGATAGAATTTTCTCTCACCTTTTTTACTCTAATTTATACTATTTCGTTAATAACGAAATGTAATAAATATCTTAATTTAGTGAAATTAATTTTTTCGTTAATATATTAAAATGAAGTTCGTAATGTATTTAATATTACCTTTTTATCTTAAACGCGTAAAATTATAAATAAATTTCGTAATTTTTTACAATCTTTTTGATATATATCGTTACTATCCGTGAGGCAAAAGTATTGAATTGTGGTATGCTTCTTGATAGATCAGTAATAGAGCCCACGGGTTCGTGCGATGCAAAATTAAAAATTATGCATTTTAAAATTACTAAAAATGCAAAATATGCAA